TGCATAATGTTGCAAATAAATTGCCAGATGAATGTACTGACCCTATGATATAATTTAGCTGCAAATTCTTCATTGTAAATTTCTTAAAGGACAGAGTCTATGATACGCCGAAAGCATAATAGACCAATCGATTCCAAATATAAAAGTTCTTGAAGAAGGAAGGAGCAAATGATCAATATGGTCATGATAATGAGGCAGGTGCTATAAAAGAGCACATTGACATAACACTTCATAAAACCTCGGAAAAGGTTCAGATACCTAAAACTGATGAAAAAAGAAGAGATCTCGATAAGTTATGTCTTGTTGGAATCGATATCAATAATCATCGGCGGTATCTTTGATATGAGGTAGCACTCAATGATATAAATTGTGACGAGGATCTTGAATTCAAATTTGTCATAGAGTGGGACTGATAAATGTTTGGCCAAGTAAAATGCATAATTCAAGTATATTTTGTTTCACTTAGAAAAATGATGTTTTGGACTGGTAGTCAATAAATCAAGGTATAATGTCAGTGGGTACAAACAAATTATTATGCGATGGTGTAATTGTAAGAACCAAGTACGGCTTGTGCCTTGGGGCATAAAGGTTTGTCGCAAAAATACCGACATTATTGGAGATGTTTTCTCCTATGGTGGATGCAATGAGGTTTGTTTTGATCTAGCAACATATGAAAAACTTGAATGCATATAATGAATAATTATCATGTCTAGCTAGACAATAACGAAGTTTATATAAAAATTCTTGAAGTAATCGAGGTGTCTGAATCATATAAGATTTTGAAAGAAACTTTTTCAATAAAGCTTCAAGAATCCTTATATGGATTGAAATAATCAAGGAAGAAAGGGTACAAAAACAATGACCCTAATTGTCTTTGTATTTTTATGAAAAGGTCTTGGTAAGACAAAATTTTGTATTGATAATTTTACAAATCAAATATTTGTCTAACAGTGCACATACACATAAAAGTTTTGATGCAATTTTATATGGATAAATCACATTCATTGAGTACCCCAATGATTATGAGATCGCTTGAAATAAATGATGATTCATTTTTATTTCAAGAGAAGGATGAAGAGCTTCTTGGTAATGAAACTTCATATCTTAGTGCAATCAGGGTATTAATGCATCTTACTAACAATACTCGACCAGATATCTGTTTTGCAGTAAATTTACTGGCAAGATTCGGTTCCTCCCCAACAAAAGGACATTGAAATAGTGTTATATATATGTGTGAATATCTGAAGGACCATAGAAATCTATTCCGAATAATTCAAGTCAGAGCTGATTGATTAAGCAGATGCAGAATATTTATCTGTTTCACATAAATCACGATCTCAAATACGTTATTTATTTGCATGTGGAGGAATAATAATATCCTTGCGACCAATGAAGCAAATGTTTCTATACAGAAATAAAAGTCCTCCATGAAGCAAGTCGAGAGTGCGTTTGGTTGAGATAAATGACATAACATATTCAGGAAATGTGTGATTTTTCTTTGTAAAAGAACATACCAATCACAATGTACGAAGATTGGAGACATCATCGCAAGAAATTAAGTGATGTTTTAATCAGATGAAGTATAATAAGCGTTGCACTCTTTTTTCCTTGACCGAGGTTTTGTCTCACTGAATTTTCATGGGAAGGTTTTTTAATGAGGTAACAAATAATGCGTATCAAAAGATATATGTACTCTTTTTCTTTCACAAGAATTTTTTCTACAAGGGTATTTATAGTAAGGTTTTGATGAGGCACAATATCTATGGGCATTCGAGGGGGAGTGTTATAAATCCATTGAATGAGTGGGTAGTCTATAAAGTTAGTACATGAACAACTATCCATATTTACTAGGTTCATGAATCTTTTTGAATAAGAATTTATATATTTATTATGATACATTAGTATGATGATTTTGGAGTGATTTCTCAACCCGTAAATAGAATTGTTCATTCACTATTATATGATATACATATGAGACTTACACACACTTGAATAAGGAGAAAATCTTTGAATAAGAAGAAAATCTTCTCTTATATCTATTTTTATTTTAATCTTCTTTCTTTATACTTATATTATTCTGAGCTTAGATTTTTATAACATAACTATAACTGTTATTTTATATTAGTAACTAGTGAATTTGACCGCGCTACGCGCGGGTTTAATATTTCTGGTAAAATTTACTTTATTTAGCAAAATTTATCATTGCAATTATTTTTTTATCTCTACAAATTTACAAACCATTATTTCCTTTAATTTCCACCTTTACATAAACTTGGTAACTTTTGTTTTATCTTTTAAATATTTGACGATATTGTTATCTCTCATGCACTTGTTATTTGAATTATAACTATAAAATTTTCCGAGTATATACAGATTCACATACATAACTTTTCTTATTTTTATTTTTTGAAAA